ACAAAAAGAGCGAGGCCGAGGCCCACACGCGCGGCCAATAACTTTAATCAGGGATGGAAGTATAGAGCCTTTGCAACCCTTTTTCGTGGCGGCGCGTCGTCCGGGGGCACATACAGGCGAGGTGCGGGAGAGATAGAAATAGGAAAGGGGGAGAGGCGGCGAGTGCGCTGCGTCAACGCGAAGAATGGGAGATGAGGATGTAGCCCGTGAGTATCGGCATTGTTTCCAAACAAAGCACCCAACCTCCCTACCCCCCACCTCCTCTGGCCTTTCATATACACGACCACCACCTACCCCCTTGCTACCTCACTTTTCTCTCTTACCAACACCGTGTACACGACTACCACCACCACCACCACCACCATTACTGCTGCTGCTACCGTTGCCCGTTGCCAAGTAGAGGCTCTGTATACCTCTGTGTGTGTGTGTGTGTGTGTGTGTGTGTGTGTGTGTGTGTTGCTATATAGGTACGGGACGAGCTGCTGCGAGCGGCTTTTCAGTCGTTTGACACGCAAAGAAGTCAGGCCGAGCGCATTGTGGGCCGTGGTGTATGCCCTCCCTCCTACCATTGTTGCATCTCATCCACATCCTCCTGCCCCGATAATATATACACGTGCGCACCCCCAAACATCCATTCCCGAATGTATACGCAGCCTCGCGCGTCTTTGTATCTATCTCTTTCTCCTCCTTTCCCGTACCCTGTCGTCATCTTCGCGGCTCTAACGCGGCCGATGCTGTTCGACGCCTCGCGGGCACGACGACTCCTTCTTTCAAAACGCTCGCGTATACGTGTGTATTATAGCTCTCGATTTTTGCACAGCTTCAAAGCTCGTCGACTTTTGCTGTACGGTGCGTCGATGTATGGAGTTGTCGACACTTTGGGAAATTAATACTTGAGCAAAGATAATTTTTGTTTCATGATTATGTAGCTTTGAATAAATATTCACCTCGATGTTCACAGTTGAAGTCGGTTTTCTTACGAATCGGTGTAAAATTTACTTTTTACGTTTACAGGAAGGCCACCTTTAGAAGCGAAGCAGCGCTACAGTGCCTATTTGAACTGTGGGAGGTTTTTGCCATGCTCTCGCTATCATGCGTTTAAACTGAGGATGCTCTTACACCTAACATGAAGTACAATGCTACCTTCTTTCACCAAAAATTAATTTTTCCAAATTCAAAAAAGACACGTCTTATTTTTAATATTTTTATAAACGTCGGTGGTATAATGTATTATTTACATAATTATTATCATGATTGCGATTGAAGATAGTAAATATGCTAGCAATAATTAAAATGTTAAAATTTTTTTTTTCGTTTCAATGGCTTATACCAAACGATGATTGATAAATTTTCAGATCGCATGATGGTCAATCAAAGCTAGAATATCATTATAGAGCACGCTACGCTTGACTTACCACTACCCAGAGATATTTTACATTTTAGATGTAAAATAATCCATAAAAGCCTTTGTAATAAAAATTTCGTAAAAAAAAAATACCTAAAGATAATTAGTTATCTCAATGATTACTTATTTTTCAATTACAATAATAAAATCAAAACAAATATATAAAAAATAAGTTTAGTATATCTTGACAAATTTTTGTTAAATGTTTTAAACATTTGTGATCGATGACTAATTTATGACGACACAAATACTGTGCAAAAAAGTCGCGAAATCACATGAAAATTCATAGTTTGCCACAGACGCAAACCTTTTGAAAACGAAAAATTAAGAATAGCGAACAAAAAGAAAAGAGAGAACGATGAGTCTCGGAAAAAAAAAAAAAAAAGAGACCGCACTCTTACACGCGCGCGCATTTATTCATCCATTCATCCATTCAGCCAAATATAGAGTACATGCACGAGTGACAAGACAAAAGCTAAAGCACGACTTTTCAGTAGCACACATTGAATGCGCACACAAGGACTGCTGAAAGCTATACATTCTATAGCTGCCCGAATTGTCATTTTGCGTCAAAGAAAGAGGTGATGTAAAATGCAGAACTGATGAAAGAAAAAGTGGCAAAAGGGAGTGAATTGCAAAAAAGACTTGCTGCATTATCATTATCGTAAGTTTGAAAAATTTGGCTTGCTATGTCGACTCATATTTTCAAATTTTGCACTGAAAAACAGATTTTCTTGCAAAAGGTGCAAGCAAACGTCCAAAGTTAAAAAATAAAATAAAAGAAAACGCCCAAGGTAAAAAAAAAGAAAAAAACTTTTACGCATTTGGAAAATGATATCCAACAAATGGGCTGGTACACAGAGCAGTTGTTTGTATGATCATATCATAGATAACTTTTCTAAAGACAATATTAAAAACCCATGGATAAGATTCCAAATGTATAGGTTGTACGTCAACAACCCGAAGCAAATAGTTTCACAAAGAAACTATATGAGCTATATAAATCACTGCTAGTTCCTCAAAACTTGTAGTCGTGCTCGTGTGCTTGTTCATTACTTATCTCTCTGTATGGCTCAATTTCTTTCTTGCATTACAGGCCACTAAATCCCTTATCCGGTTCAAACTCTCCTAAGCATAGCAAGAACGCTGTTTGGCGATCTATCACTCAAGTATTACCAATACGATTCCGATCATTTTGTATATTTTCTTTTACCAGGAAGCAGATAGATTAGATAGCGTAAAACTTTCTCTTTGCCTTTTAAGTTTTAAAATATAATGTATACACAATATCTACATGAAAGCTGCCCTAATACAAAAGTAATGCGGCAAATTTGCCAAGAGATGAAATCACAATTATATAGGAAAGGGCAGCGATTTTTGAAAATCGACTCGTATCGGCTTTATCTAACTTTTGGTACCTATATAGATTGAATATCACTTGTCCCGTAGAAATGCATTACTTTCTCCCATTACATTCTCGTTAAATACGTAATTATTGTACCACTCTACGGCAGGTGTTAACGCTGGCGTTTGCATGAATTAGCCTAGCTTTCTTAAAAAAGCCCAAAGCACATTTTGCGCTACTGCAGCTTTTCCAAGATCATGCATGTGTTTCGGGGGAGGGTTGAAAGCACGCAAGGGTCTGCAGATACCCGGAGTGGCAGAACACTTTATTCCTCATCGTCCATCTCGAGGCCCTTTTCTCGCGACTGCTCGACCTCTTTTGACTCCGGTCTTTATTTTACATTACCGACGCGCAAAACCCTTCTCCTCTTCCTTTTTTTATTCTTTTTTTTAGCAGCAGTACTCCTCCCTTTTCTTCTAACTCTCTTCATGCAACCGTCGCATTCTTTGCTCCTCTTGTCGTCGCGCTCGCCTTTGCTTGCTTTGCAACGCCTTTTCCCTCCCTCTCCCTGGCTCTCTTCTTCCCATTTCTATACACCTTTTATTCGAAGCACTTTCTTCTCAAGACCATAGCCTCCTCGCAAGGATCAAGCTAATTACTACGTGTCTCACACCGATGTGTTTCATTTTATTTATTTTTTTTAAATTTCAGCTTTCATGAAAATCACGTGTTACTTCAATGCTGCTTGATAATCGTATATATTATACGAGAGCCTATATGCGAGGAGCTGACTAAGCCCAGTGAACAACATTAGTACGAGAGGGACAATGGGAGCGAAAGACACAGTAATATGCACGAGTCATTGGATTCATGTGTAAGAAAAGCGACTCGAGGAGATGAAAAACCGCGAGGATAAAGACACCAAGAGAGCGAACAACCGAAAGGAGAGAACAGGACAGGAGTCAAGTGTTGGCGAGAGGAAAAGAGACGGCGAAAACAAAGGGGGTGGACAAAGAGAGCAGGTTGATAAAGCGATGTACATTGTATGGAAGCGAGTCTAAAAAGAGTCGCGGGTGTACAGCACCGCGAGAGGGGACAAATGAAACATAGAAAAAGGCGTATTATATACCGTGTATAGGTGAGAGGGAAAAAGAAAAGATTATGTGCATGTAGGTGTATATGTTGTATACAACATTAACGCGAGTTCGCCCACTGTATGAGTACGTACACAGAAGAGTAGAGTCCGCGAAAAAAGAGAGAGAGAGAGAGAGAAGGTGTGTGCACGTACACGCGTACACACACACATGTATTCATAGACACTTTTGCTCACAAAGCGATATCCAGCCTCGTATACTCTTCTCTCTGGCGTCCGTCTCATTGTATGATGTCGGGAGGAGGAAGAGAAGGAAAAGGGAGAGGAAGAGAGAGACGGGCGGGCGGAGGTAGGGTGGCCGATTGTCTTAGTATATAATGGTCGCGTCGCACAAAAGCGAGTACAATGCTAGCTAGTGCGCGCTAGCTCGATGTCTAACAATGCGAAGTGACGTCACATACAGTGAATGCGAGCAGCAGCCCCGTTCTGTATCTCTCTCTATATATATATGACTATGCGGAGGAATCGCGTGGACCCCTCTATTTTTTTTTTTTTTTTTTTTTCATGCCTACCCCCTTTTCTTCTTCACCATTTCGCTATTATACTTTACGCGTGCGTGTACGCGCTCGAGCCGAATATAAAGGTACATCCTTTGCTTTCTTTTGGAGCTCGCGCGATGCTGCACTTGCTCGACCGGCCTGGCGCCACTTTGCGTTTTTGTGTACTCACTTACGCGCTCATCTTATCGTTGTTTGCCCGTGTGTATACGTGCTATGGTTGTGTAATGTATGCATTTGGCAAGAGAAGGACGGGGTAAGTACACGTGTGTATTGTCCCCCCGTTGATTCGGAGGGTATTTTGGCGCGGGATGCAATCGTTGTATACTTGTACAATATACATTGTTGCTGTAGGGATTTATTTTACAGAGTTTTGGAGGGGATGGTACTACTATACTTTGCATGTTGTATCGAATAAGAATGAAAGTTCGCTTTTGTCCAAGAGGCGCTTAAAGTTTATAGGATCGACAAAAACTATTATCCTTCGATTAATGATACTAGGTTGCGTGTATACATAGAAAGTTTACCATTAGTTTTGCAAAAGTGTTATTTATTATAAACAATTCATTATACATACATTCGAAAGACCTTTTGCTACGTTTTCACATAATATTGTTGTGGTTATATACATAGATGTATACAGAATATAGATGGAGTATCGAATCCAGAGGTCCCTGGATTACACGAGTCTGTCTTTCTATTGTCAAATTCTGCACACGATCATACATTTACACTTTATAAAAATTTTTTCTTCTTATACGTGTGTCAATAAAATACATACAAATAAAAATCAAAGTTATGTAAAAAACTTTTGGACAACAAAGTTAAAAAATTTCTTTCGCGTATAAAACAATGTACAATTCGTCTGAATTTTCGTAAAATATAGTTAATGGGCTTAATTTTTAATAAACGTCAATAAAGTTAAAATAAACGTTAATAGAGTTAATAGACGAAAACAGACTTGATTTGACTGACACGCACATAAAAATTTTCGTATATCACGAATTTCACCAAATTAAACGTACAAGCACTCGACACGGAAAACATCGAATCAAGTTACTTTCGGGCACATCTGTACGGAAATTTTCAGTACCTGCGCGAGATAGCATGACTTTGCCGGCGATTCACCAGTCTGTCGGGATTCAAACAAAAGCACAATTCAAAAGGTGACAGGCTGGCCTTGCAGGTGCATCGGAATCCGGTATCACCTTTCTTATCAGCGGCTATCTTGAGATTCAAATGGTAATCGTCAAAGATTATCTCGTAGAACGGATGCACCTGACGATGCAAATGTTCGTAAGGGTGAATCTTGTACTTAGTCTGCGCGTACCACCACGGATCGCAACGATAGTGATCGTAAGCAGAGGCAGGGGTCTTCACAACCACTTTCATGTTTATGATGCTGCTGGTCGTTTCCAGTCGGTCTTTATTCAAGAAACGACTGGCTTTTACCTCGTCTTCTTTGTCCCGGTAATAGGAAAACAACTGATCGACCTCCCTACACACGTTACCGGACTTTTCGGGCACGCCTGTTGTTTTCGTTGCGGACTCGGTTGGTCCCCACCAAGATGCGCACTCCAGCGTGTCAAATCGAGGTCGCTGGTGATACATGTCAACGACTTTTTTCTGCAATCAAGTCACAAAACGGCGCGTGTTAGTTTTGAGCTTTTGAAAGTACTTATGTTTCTAAAAATGATTATCCCGAAAAAGAAAAGTAAACATTGAAAGGCTCCTAGGCGACAGTACGTTTGTGCCAAAAATATCATCGTAACAACAGAAAATCAACATACCTTGTAAGACGAGTAAAAATTCTGGTGACGATGATCCTTGAAACTCACGAGTGTCGAGTCTGCTACACACTTTGACGCAGGACGTTACCAAATGAACTGATACTCGTCGAATGATGTACAGCACATTTCCGCGCCATAATTTATACACCCAACGACGACTGGCTAATTGGTCACTTTATTCGTTTTTAATGGGTGAAAATGGCGTTATGGGTGACGAGTAACCGTAAGCTGGGAAAATTGGCTTTCACCATTATTGTAGTATGGGCAGTCCAATGAGCACGAAATGGTTTGGATAACGAGTGTAGATTTCAGTTTTGTTGGATGTATGAGATAAGAAGTCAGTTTTTCGTGAGAACCCAAATGAAACCCAACATGTTAATGACGGAAGAATATTGTGTGAGTGAAATCATGGGCTGTTGTCGATATACTTAACGAATTGTTGAGCGTATGACACATGTTTGTACCTGAAACTGTATATACTACACGCGATATCACCCGCATGATTGTAAGCGTTTATAAAATTGCAACAATAGCACGGATTTTGTTTCCCTTTTTTTTACTGGCTTTGATTTTTACACAAAAAAGTTTTCATCCGATGCTCAGTTCGGAGCTGGTGAGTGATAAAACATCGCACGGGTCATTTATGTTTTTGAAAACTCTTGTTTTTGAATTCTACTAACTGTATAACTACAAGAAACGCGCGCAACTACGTTTTCCAGATATCTTGAAATTCAAAGGTGTCACTAGTACAGGGTAGGGGAAAATTATTGTGTCTTCGTGCTGGGAAATAAAGTTTATTCGCTATCATTTGCCGCGTAGCTTTCATCACAGCCGTGTGCACGCCGTACGTTGGATTACATCACATTAACACGTAACTCAAGAGAGCAGATTTTATTTTTCGGTAAGATTCGCCGACATTATTTCTTAATTGCATGAATTTCACGAAAATAGTTTATGATTTTTGTTGAAAAAGCGCTTAGACAATCGTGCAAATATTTTAAGTTTGCCGTAGCTTTGAATCTCAGAAGCTTCAAGTGCTCAAGCAAAAATCAATTCATTTCAAATAGTAACAGCATCGATTATTCGTCAACTGGACGAAAATGTAAGAGACAACTGACGACACGTGGCTTATTTTTTCAGAAATGCGCGAGAACAAGGGTGTGCCTTCCTTTCGCTCCAATCACCAAAAGAAGCGAGCTTTGGAGCACGTGCGCAGCCTCAACCAGATCGTATCCAACGTACAAGCTGTACTTCCATTTTTATGGGATGAAGATCTTGGAAAGGAAACCAGCCACGTACAAATACAACGGACGCAGCAACATCGTCAGCAACAATGGGAATATTTGTACAACACGCATGATTCAGCCATCAGATGAAAGGACGTACAGCTTTGTAGCACAGGACTTGGGCAAGTTACTACGATACCCCCAAACTGTAACCTTTGCAATGTTCTGTGCTCACGTTTTTGTTAATATTCGAAATTATTATTCTTTGCTCGTTTTAATTATTATTATTATTATGTATGCTGTTTTCAAGCTACATATATATTGCATTTGCTCATAGGATTTCGCATCCTAGAATTTTTCACTTTATTGTGTATTTTTCAATTATACTTTATCTTTGTAAACATTCGAGCAACCGTTGATTTCACTGATTTTGAAGGGTCGACTGATTTTTATTTCCATGCAAAAAAATGTTAGTTATAATTTTAATACCTTGCAAGCTTTAGTTTCTGTTTATTTTTAAATAGCATTTTTCACATACTATACGCTTATTCTTTTAAAAACAGACGAAATATTCTTCCAGTAATTGTATGTATTTATATCAGAACGAATCACTGTAGCGACCCATCTAATGTTTACAAAACAAAATAAAACTATTATTTGAAAGTGAAGCATTAAACTGTGGATCTATTTATTTAGGTATTCACTAAACATAAGCATTATTTCAATTTCTCAAAAGCTCCAAAACTGTTGGAAGTTATTAATGATTTTATAAAAATCATATGGAACATACTACGCTTAAAAACTATTATCATAAAAGTATAACGAGTGCTGATAGTAATAGTTCCTAGAATTGGAATTTAAACTTAATGTGTACAAGGAGTCACAGCTACTTACATCTAACATAAACCTAATAGAAACTCTAATTTAAAAGAGAAAAGTTGAAGTAGATATTTATACTTGAAGAAAAATTTTTGTAATTCGTAGGGATTTTATTAATAATTCCTATAATTGACTCAATATTTTCATAGTTTGCAGTAATTTTATAAAAATTTCTGCAGGTTGCACTTTAACACTGTGTAAGTGTATCCTGATCAATAGTAATAACATCTGCTATTTTTAGTACTTATGTTTCAAAGTGATATTTTATATATAGAGTGTCATAGCTCCCTGTCTATTGTTTACAAAACGAGACGAAATAAAGCTACTTTCAAATTTCAAATCACAAAGCGTGTCTGTTTATTTCACGCACCTTTATATCACTTATCTATTAGAATCCTAGCAAATGTGAAAATTCTAATTCCTTTCAATATAATCGTACAGGCTTGAACTAGGTAATAATAAATTTTACGATCAAACAATGAAACTTTGCACAAATTATCAAAAACTTTAAAAAATGCCTGTAAGTACACAACAATTCAAAATTGAATTTTAAACGATAAAAAAAGACTTAAAATTATTTTGAAAATCTCTCAATATTTCATGAGTTTAACAATAATAGTAGTAATAATAATAATAATAATAACAATAATAATAATAATAATAATAATAATAATAATCAAGGGGCGTAACAACAGTAATCCCTCGTCCCCTCGTACAACTCGTTTATTCTCTTCTTTCGCTTGTGTACATGTTGACTTACTAAAGTATCGTAAGCGCATTTATTATTGAGCTTTTACAGCTGATAGCTGAACCGTGAAGATATGTGACTTTTCAACCCCACGTGCAATAAAGCGAGAGAGCTAGGGGGAGCCAACCCCTTCAATCGCCCTATCATCCGTCCCCCTTTCGTAAATCACGGGCAGAAGTATTGTTTTATAGATTTTGATTGCTTGTCATAGATAAAATCAGCGCACATCGCACGATTGTTCAAAAACAGTGAACAAAAATGTAAATGCGCGAGATAAAAGGAAAAAAAAAAAAAAAAAAAAAAAAAAAAAAAAAAAAAAAAANATCGCTCATTAAAATTCAAAACGTCAATCGCAAGGGCCATTATCTCATTATCGAGCAGTCGAAATAAAACAAAACAAAAAAAGCTGGCAGACAAGGAGGACAGCTATGAAAGGTAAGGGTGGAGTCAATTGTTATTCGATAGAATGGCATTCATTTGTTTATATAATGCTGTGTGCGCTTTTCAACCCCTCTTCAAACTATATATGTATACATACATGCATGAACCTATGTGGGAAAAGCAAGCGCGTGCGAGCGCGTGCGCGGTCGTTGAAATCAAAGGCCATATTGTCACCTGTGAATTACCCCATGCTACGTACACGGAAACGACGCATTCATCGCGCGCTTGGAATCAAGCTTATTTGTATATGTGCTTGTGGATGCGGTCTTTGGGTTTGTAACGAAGCTGCCACTGTAATCCGTTTTCTTTTCTCATTGTGTTCTTATATACGTACGCGTTTGTTCAAGTAGTTTTGTTGTGAAAATTGAAAAAATTTCTTTGAGATGTACCAAGGTTTTTTTAATTAAAATGTACGCCAACGCAGTATTAATATTACAACACATTTTGAACTGCAGTGGAATAAATAATGAATTAAAAACATATTTCTCTAAAGAAATAAAAAGTTTAGAGAGCTGATGTTAAAAAATTTTTCTTTATTACTAAAACTAAACCGGAATNCGGGTAGTTATCGACGACGAAATTATAATCACTGACAGATGGAGCAGTGTATAAGTAGTGCATGCGACGACAACGTCCTGCAGGTTCTTGTGAACACCCGCCGTTGGGATGGTTCTCCTATTTTTTGTGCACATAAACAGCCGCATCAGGAACTTGCCCTCACTTGCTCACTCAACGGAACATTCTATCATTTTCATATACTACATTGACCCGCACAAACAAAACACTCACACCCGCGTGTAATTGATTAAAAAACGCAGAACTCAATTTTTTTTTTTCCAACTGTAAGTGCAATAAAAGCAGTGCACCTCCACCACCTTGGAAATCCGTCAGCCGAACATAACAGCCATTAGTCGCAATTTCGGCTGCTCTTTGCAACCTGCACGTTTCCAACCGTCGCGCGTAAGCGCGCACCCACACGCGGAGAGATGCACAGGTGGAACGAAAACACTTTCTGATCTTTTCAACTTTTGCCCCGATGCGTATCGCAAAAAAAAAGGAGAGCCGCCGACACAACACCGGCACCTGCACTACTGCGTATTACGAACAACAATAACACCGCACCTAACCTCTGTCATGTCCGACTGGACGGATTGAAACGAACAAACAAAAAGACGGGATAGTATACACTCGCGATCGTTAAAAAACACACTGCAACAACATACACAAATACATGTTATCGACTAAGCGACAACAAAACATAAAAAATACTTCTCCGTACAAGGAACCGGACCGAACAGCCTCTCACCGGAACGCGCGTCGCGCGGAACTGAAGCCTCGAACGGGTATTATGTTCTCTCGCGCGCTCCGCGACTTGCATTCACATCCCCTCCACCGGGTGTCTCTCCCTTTCAGAAACTCCCCCTTTTTGCCGTGTGTATCATATCACTGTATATGCATACACGCGCACGCGCCCGACTCCAAGGCACCTACGTGTATAGATGTAGATATTTTATTGTCCGCGACCGCGACACAATACACGTGTGCGTGTGCACCCACCCCTCGGCCGCCGTTGGTTCTTTTGACAGCAAAGCGCTAGCTATACACATATATGCGTGCGATGCCTGAATGCAAGGTGCTGGATGAGTTTTTGAATTACGAGGCGACGTGTCGATTGTTCGAGCTGAAATGGATGATGCTGTCGATTCGATTGATAAGTGCCACGCCACCGCGTGCGCCCGGGCGTTAATAAAAATGCGCGCGTCGAGAAGCTGTTTCGCTCGTTTTACTCTTGTTGATGATGTTATCATCCATCGATGCAACGTATATTTATGCTAGTAAGATTAGTACCAAAACCTTCTTTTCCATTCATCAATCAACGATGGATCAGTGCGGATTACTTGTGTATCATTTGTACATAATATGTAGTAAAATTGTTAACCCGCAAATGTTATTCATAAAAATCCGTAAATCACTCATGACTCATTGAAAATTACAAAATTATTTAAAATAACAAAAAACATAAATAAATAAAAAAATTAGTACCTACTCAAAAAAACAAACCTAAACTGAGAAACTACATGAATAACTAATGAGTTTTAGAAAAGGTCTGCGAAAATTCACAAGTAAACATATACAAAGAAGTTGTTGAACATGAAAAAATTTTATTTGTGAGCTTTATGTCATTTCAAATAGTTGTTGATACCACTAATCCTGTAAAACAGTTTGAAAAAATTATAGAAATAATTCTTATAATGAACGAATACGTAAACTAAAGTGTCAACTCTCGCTTGATCATCGGAGGTTGCTAAACCACATTTTTATTTATATTACAGATGGGAAATTAAACTGAACATCAATTTTCCTGCGAGTCAAAATTAAAATATTTTAATTTGAAGTGAACACAGAAATGCGAAATCAACCCACCCTGGCAGCCTTAAAACGTACTTTCGCCCCTCAATTATTTCGTCGATAATCAAAACATCAGCACATCCACAAAACCCGTTGGTACAGGCCTCTTTCGCACCGCCTCTCATCTCCAAGAAGAGAGCATGTTACTACAAAAGCTTTGAGAGAGGCGTGCAATTTTCGCGCGGCCGAATTGAAGAGACGAAATACAAAGAAAGACGAGAAAGAAAGAAGAAAGCGCCACCGCGACAATGACCGTTTTTAATACACTCGTTCCCTGCGCACACAAAAGTCTTCGCTCGCTCACATATATACCCTAGTTTTGACATATATAATGTACGTGTGTACATGCGTGCAGACGAGCTAGCGGGTGCGAACAAAAAGTCACACAACAGCACACATATGAGAAAGAAAGAGCGAGAGAAAGAGAGTACCTATATACCCAAATGGAGTAGAGAACAGAAAAGAGAGTAGGTACTGCCCTGCCCGACTGCTGCAGTGCTGTTGATGGCATACAATATTAAGGTGATGCTCTAAAAGAGATAGAGTAGGAGTCAGGCTCTTTTGATATTTTTTTTTTTTTTTTTTTTTTAGATCGAGGTTTTTGATCTGAGATTGCGTGAATGATTCTGTTGGGGTACGTTTTATCGTGATTAAATCGTGCTTGCTGTTGGTAAAATACATTTCAATGGTGCAGAAATTTATATGCGTTGATTTGACGTAAAAATAATTTACCTCGTAATTTACTATGAAAAAGGACAGCTCAAGCGAATTTCGAGGCCCTTCAATTGTTGATATATGTGGTTGTTGTGAGCGATTACTACAAAGGAAATAAGAAAAAAATTAATAAATGACGATTCGTCGTATGCTCACAATGTAAGATATGCTCGTATTAAAAATAATAAGAACGCAATAACGAGTGATGTATTGTTTTAATCAACGTAAAAAAAAAGAAAAAAAAAAAAAAAATACAGAAGAGAAAAGAAAATGAATAATAAATCAAGCGGCATAATACACTCGTCCCGCTGAATTCATACACCATCAATGGAGGAAAGAGAGAGAGAGAGAGAGAGATACCTCCCATTGTATGAAAACACAAAAAGATTTTAATTAATAACTCTTCTCCAAAATAATGAAAGAGAACGCAAGCTGTAATAACTCTAAAACTCATTCGGCGAGCACACGATGTGAGAAAAGTATGCGAATCGCGTATGATCTTTTGTCCGCTAGTTTTCGTATGAAAAGAAGCAAACAAAAACACATACTCGGAGCCATTCTCATTTTTGTTTGGAAAAAAAAAAAAAAAAGTTTCTAAAAAGTTACTTCGAATTCACCCAATTCAAACGTGTCGAACGCGCGCGCTCGAGTATAAAGACCGCCAGGCAGGTTGGTGGCGATGAAAGAAAAGACTCCGTAGCGCATGATAACGAAAGGCAGAAAAAAAAGCGCGAGTTTCAGTTTCGATTTCCAAAGCTTATCGTGAAACGTCGAGTTGGAAAAGGAAAATGGGAAAGGCACGCATTGTGCTCATCTAGTGATTTGGCTACAATCGAATTTAAAGGGGACACAAAAATTTTTTGGGGGGTACTTAAATATTTAATGCATAAAATCCTTGAGAGCTCACGTGACAAGGGGGGAGAGGTTAAGATACGCTCAAGACGACGATGTCAAAGGGGAAAGACTCGAGCTTTTCTTCGCCTCTTCAATGAAAAGTGAGAGAAAGGATGATAAAAGCGCGAAGGTACGGAGGTG